TGTGGCTTATTGAGAAAACCAAGAAACAATTAACCCCAGAGGATTTGCCACCCAGGATAACCCAAAAAAGTCAGTGTCATCGGGGACTGTCTAACTTATTTCCATTGGGTCCTTAATCTTGTCTCCAGGATGCAACCCACACCAGTCGACTAACACCCAGGTGAACAGGGAAAAATGCCTGGAACTAGTGCTCATATTGGTGAATTTAAAGCCAGCAAAGGTTGGTTTGAGAGATTTAAGAATCGTAGTGGCATACACAGTGTGATAAGGCCTGTTCTGGAAGAAAATGCCAAACAGGACCTACAGTACTCAGGAGGAAAAGGCACTCCCAGGACACAGTGTCTCATCAGTCATTGCTGCATCTTCAATAAAGGTAAGTGTCATTTATTCTTCATTTAGTAGACTAGTACATGCACAATATATACTGTGCATGTACTACTCTACTATTGTGCATGTATCCTTCTCTTTGTGTGTGGGAAAATGTATATTTCATGTGGTAAAATTTTTTTTTCATACTTTTGGGTGTCTTGCACGGATTAATTTGATTTCCATTATTTCTTATGGGGAAAATTCATTCACATAGCGATTATTTCGCATAACAATTACCCCTCTTGCACGGATTAAAATCGTTAACCGGGGGTCCACTGTATATATGGCCCCTCTATAAACATGTACATCCTGAAGTCTACTCAACAGTCTTTTATCCACCAATACATAATCCAACAAACTACTGTCATTATGCCCTACATCATATCTTGTATACTTATTTATCCTCTTTTTCTTAAAATATGTATTACCTGTAACTAAACCCCTTTCTATACAAAGTTCAATCAAAGGGCTCCCATTATCATTTACACCTGGCACCCCAAACTTACCTACCACACCCTCTCTAAAAGTTTCTCCTACTTTAGCATTCAGATCCCTACCACAATTACTCTCACACTTGGTTCAAAGGCTCCTATACATTCACTTAACATCTCCCAAAATCTCTCCCCTTTTCCTCTACATTCCTCTCTTCTCCAGGTGCATACACGCTTATTATGGCCCACTTTTCGCATCCAACCTTTACTTTAATCCGCATAATTCTTGAATTTACACATTCATATTCTCTTTTCTCCTTCCATTACTGATCCTTCAACATTACTGCTACCCCTTCCTTTGCTCTAACTCTCTCAGATACTCCAGATTTAATCCCATTTACTTCCCCCCACTGAAACTCCCCTACCCCCTTCAGCTTTGTTTCACTTAGGGCCAGGACATCCAACTTCTTTTCATTCATAACATCAGCAATCATCTGTTTCTTGTCATCCGCACTACATCCACGCACATTCAAGCATCCCAGTTTTATAAAGTTTTTCTTCTTCTCTTTTTTAGTAAATGTCTACAGGAGAAGGGGTTACTAGCCCATTGCTCCTGGCATTTTAGTCGCTTCATACAACACGCATGGCTTACGGAGGAAAGATTCTTTTCCACTTCCCCATGGACAATAGAAGAAATAAAGAAGAACAAGAGCTATTTAGAAAAAGGAGAAAAACCTAGATGTATGTATATGTATATATATGCATGTGCGTGTCTGTGAAGTGTGACCAAAGTGTATGTAGGAGTAGCAAGATATCCCTCTTATCTAGCGGGTTTATGAGACAGAAAAAGAAACCAGCAATCCTACCATCATGCAAAACAGTTACATGTTTCTGTTTCACAGTTATCTGGCAGGACGGTAGTACTTCCCTGGGTGGTTGCTGTCTACCAACCTACTACCTACTATGGGTTTAACACCTATTTTTAACACTGTATGATAATAGTAATAATTTGGTCAATGAGTCGGGCATAGAATTTTGATAATTATATTTGGGTGAAATGCTAAACCCTAGTGGGCCATTCAGTGGAGGCTCGTTCCTCCACAAATACATTACAGTACATAAAACAAACAAACATTTTTATTTATTTCTGCAGTATACGAAATGTAGTTTAAATTTATTAAAACATTGTTAAGCACAAAAGAAAGCCACTAACATGTAGTGCATTTTGGGCAGGTTAATGTACTGCATCCACAAACATAACCTCCTCAGCAACAGCCCCCTCCCACTACTGAGTGTTCAGATGAGGCAGATAATCCTTTCCCTCCCATTAACTCGACCAAACTCTTTCTACCTTCCATATATGGTAGCAGTGCCTACACTTTGGAGGAGTGGGGATGTTGTAGTAAAAAGGGTAGTCTGAATTGTGATGTCAGCACATTTCTGGCAAAACAGCAATTGAATGAATGATGGTGAATGTGTTTCCTTCTTTGAGTCATCCTATATGGGAGAGAGTCAATGTGGTAAAAAATATATGGTGAGTATAACAAGCATTATGGGTAAATAAAGAAATTTCCAGTGCTCTCCAGAGCCTTTCAACTCCATCATGTCTCTCCAAGAGTAGGTGCCTTGATGTTGGTCAAGGGCTCTTGATATAAGTAATCAGAGACAAGTTTAGTCACTCGTCTTATTTCAAACCTCAGTGCCCCTACCCTATTTTCTCAGGATAATTGACTGATTTGATGAATGTGCCTCCTGGGATTTGGCCCACACCCAGGAAATTTGACTCGGGTTCTATCCCCTCCCGTGGTATGGTTTGTTTGCAATCGTGTCATTACAATTTCGTGAGTCAATTTGACTTGTTTTTAACCCCAGGAAATTTGACTTTTTTTTGACCCCAGGAAATTTGACTTGAAAATGATTTCGTATGAACAAAAATTATTTTGTCGGACCAATGATTTTACGAGACTATCAGCACTACTTTTATAACTCAAATAGTTTTGTACAACTGACTAATTTATATTGATGAATGTTTATTATATTACACTACATGCTTAGTCTTTTCTTGTTTATTCATGTTTATTTCATGTTTATTGTACTCCAGGACTTGAGTCCTGGAGATGGGAAGTACAGTGTCTGCACTCTGAAGGAGAAGTGTTAATGTTGCAGTTTTATAAGTGTAGTGTAAGCGTGTCTCTGGCAAGACAATGATGGAGTGAATGATAATGAAAGTTTTTCTTTTTCAGGCCACCCTGCCTTGGTGGGAAGCGGCTGATGTGTTAATAAAAATAAAAAATATAATAACTACATTTTTAAACTATACTTAGCAGTTACATTGAATAGGTTATCAGTTTGTGCACTGATTAAAGAAATTCATGGTTGGGTAGACTTAAACTGCAACTGAGTTATGGAGGTATTACAGAGTGCTGCCATCAAGAGCCTTGATGCCAGTGAGGCTCTTGATTCGGAAAATGAAGCTACCCTTCACTTCCTTAGATCAAATCTGATTATCTCCCAGGAGCTATTTAATCCTTATGGATTTAGCGCTCCCCTCATGAATATAATAATGCCAGTTTCTTAAAAAGGAAAGAGTAGCGTTGTACAGGTGTAACAACACTGTCCACACCAGGTGTTGTGTGGTGGGCCACGTGTGATGCAGGTGTTGGTGCGTGTGTATGTTCAAAAGTGTGATCACGTGTGTGTGTGTGTGTGTGTGTACTCACCTATTTGTACTCACCTATTTGTGGTTGCAGGGGTCGAGTCTTAGCTCCTGGCCCCGCCTCTTCACCGGTTGCTGTGTGTGTGTGTGTGTGTCTGTGTTTGTGTCAATGTGTAGCAGCCTGCGCTAATGCACATACACTAGCTTATCTCTCTCCTCTCTCTCTCTCTTTTACACAGGGTTTTACAAGGTTAGATTAAGGTTCCTGACTTCATTTACAAGCTCATTTGAAAGCCTTTTTTATTGTTATGAGACAAAAATATGGAACAAGATAAAGTTGGAGCCATCAGTGGGCCAGGAATTTCATTTGATCAGCAGATTTTATTTCGTTGATATCATTGTGTTGTATGAACATGTTCAAAACTCGAATCATCCTAGGAATAAATGATCTCAGATGAAGTGATGTTGTGAAGAAGGGAAGAGAATGAATTTGCAGCTTGCTGCCCGTCTTGTGGTGTAGAGGCTCACTTCTCGCTGTCCTCAGAGTGAAGCCAAGTGTGGCACTTCGTCTTCCTCTCTTTCCTCTTTAAGGAGATGTATGTTATGTAAAAATATAAAATAGATATCACTAGACTCAAGGGAGGTTCCTTGACGCTGGTGAGGGGCTCTTGATCTAGGAATTGGATCTGTGCTCCGGTTCCCTGAATTAACTGACTCACGAAATCGTAATGACACGATTGCAAACAAACCATACCCCGGCCGGGATTGAACCCGCGGTCAGAGAGTCTCAAAACTCCAGCCCGTGGATAACGCGACGGGCTGGAGTTTTGAGACTCTGACCGCTGGTTCAATCCCGGCCGGGGTATGGGTTTGGTTTCCCTGAATTAAGCCTGAATACCTTCCATCCCCACCCCCACATGCGCTGCATGATCCTACGGGTTTAGCGCTCCCCATAATTATAATGATATAATCATTGGGTTCTGTAGCTACTTAAGTATCTTCAAAAGAACTGCTGTGGAAAACTGAAAGAGGTTCTGCCAAATCTGACTTGATATCACCTTCGTGGACACAGTAATCATTATTACACGACCGGACAGCATGTACAAAGGTGCATTTCTCAGCGTATATATGCTGAGAGATTAATCCCTGTTTTAAGGATTAAAGTATTCTTGTCTGATGGTGACAAAGCTACGTACAGCCTTAATGAACGTGTGTGATATTAAGGTAGGATTTAAACTACAACTGGAAACCCATTATACGATCAGTATCAGCTTATTGGTGTAATAATACGTGGCACTTGTGGGAAGTGCCATGGCGCCAGTGTGTAGGGTGCACGACTGGTAGTGTCATAAACCACTAGTAGGGTGTAGTATATACGTCTGGAAGCGCTGTGAACAACCAACTGTGTAGTACATACGTCTGGCAGAGCTGTGAACCACCAGTGGTGTGTAGTATATACAACTGGCACTGCCAAGCAGAGCCAGTAGGGGGAAGACCGTTGACAGGAGGGTTAACGCCGGTCTCTCCATCAATATAATTAACTT